AAAGCCCCCAGACTGGCCAAGAGTGCCCCAAGAGGCTTCCAAGACGGCTCTAGAGGGCCCCGAATCGCCGAACCATCGGTCGAAGACGCCAAAGTAGCCTCCAGACGGCCCAAGAAATTGCCAAGACGCTCCAAGAAGTCTCCAAGAGCACTCCCAAGAGGGCACGAAGAGGGAAAAATCAATGATTTCCTTAAAGTGTTTGACAGATTTGGGCGTTCTCGCCGTTTCAACTTGCCGACGCTCCAAGACGGCCCCACATGCCCCCAAGATTGCCCCAAGGTAGCCCAAGAGGCCTCAAAAGAGCCCCAAAATGACCCAAGATCGCCGGAGATGCCTCCAAGATGGCCCCAGGGGCTCCCCAAACGGCTCCAACAGGGTGCCCAGACGGGGGGCCCGACGAGCCCTCGGCGACAGAGGCTCCCAGGAAACTCCAAGATGCCCCCAAGAGGCCACCACGAGACCCCCAAGAGGCCACCCGGAAGCCCCGAGAGGCCCACAGGAGCTTCCCAACACGTTCCCAACAGGCTCCAAAGAGGCTGCCCAGATGCTCCCAAGAGGCCCAAAAACTAGCCTTCAGAGGGCCCCCGAGAGCGCTCCGAAGAGACTCAAAAAGCATCCCTGAGGACTCTGACCCACGTCAACATCGTCGTCGTCGTCGTCGTCGTCGTCGTCGGCCAAAGACGCTCCCGAGAAAACCTCACGATTACCAACAACGGCCACAACACGACCCCCCCCACACGAGACCCAAAGATACCCCCAAGAGGCCCCCTCGCCACATTAGAGAACGCATGGGTCGCCCTCCAGGGTCGGCGGCACTGGCCGTAAGGCCTTCGCAATAAAACATATGCAAAAAGTGCTCGAAAGATGCCCAATAGTACTCCAAAAATAATCCCCAGACCAATTTTTGACGATTTGTTTTATTAGTTTTGGGATCTGTTTTATTCTTCGTCGAAAATCCCCTTGTAGAGGGACACGCCCGACTTGAGCCTAGAATCGAATCGACAAGTCGGATCGGCGATCGAGCGAGTCGGGTCGGCGGAAATCGGCCGCCGAGCCGGAGAGGGTCGGATCGGCGGAAGTCGGCAGGCTTGTGTGCGTCCAGTGAGAGATCGGGGCCCAGGTCGGGATCCCAAGTCGAATCGGAATCGGAACCCACCGAGATCGAATCGAATCGGAAGAACCGAAATGAACCCTGGCGGGGTGGGCTCCGGGTGGCTCCCCAACCTGGGTGGGCCAGAGGACCTCGGAGGGGGTTGGCTGAGCACTGCGTGGCATCTTCGGGTGCCCTTCCCTGAGATCCGACGCAGCGAAAAATCATCCTGGCGAGGGACACAACCATATGAAGTTGTGGGTACCGCAATTGTGAATATCTTCTTCGGTGAAGCTCCCTATGGGGCCACGAGGCGCTGCGCTGGGCAGGGGGGGAACGCATGCGGGCGGTAGCACTGGGGCCGCTCGGTGGAGCTCCCTACGAGGCCACGAAACGCTGCACTGGGTGGGTGAAAATACCAAATTAGGCGTGTGGGACGCATGTGGGCGGTCCGATTGGGGGCTTCGGTGGAGCCCCCCATGGGGATGCGAAGCGTTGTAAAGGGTGGGCGAAAATGCCAAATTGGGAGTGGGGGACGCATGCGGGCGGCCACACTGGAGGCTTCGGTGAGGCTCCCTATGGGGCCACGAAACGCTGTACTGGGTCCGCGAAAATGTACAATTTGGTGTGGGGGACGCATGCGGGCGGTCCCATTGGAGGCTTCGGTGGAGCTCCCTATGGGGCAACGGAGCGCTGTACTGGGTGGGTGACAATGCCAAATCGGGCGTGGGGGACGCATGCAGACGGTCCCACTGGGGGCTTCGGTGGGGCTCCCTACGGGGCCACGAAGCGCTGTACTGGGTGGGCGAAAATGCCAAATTGGGTGTGGGGGACACACGCGGGCGGTCCAACTGGGAGCTT